AAAACTTAAAAAAAAAGTTTCATCACCTCTCTCGAACAGTTTGTCATCCGATATTACAGTATAAAGCTGCAAGATGATATCCACTACTTTAAAGTCACGAACGGAATAATATGAGTCAACTGCTAACAATGAGCACAAAACTTCCATGGCTACTTTGTACGCCTGACCATGGTCTAATGCCTTTAATAATCAAATGTATTGACAGCAAAAAGTTCGATCAAATCGAAAGACTTTGCTCGGCTTCAAATTCTACTTGTATTCTCTCGAAAGGAGCAAATCGTTCAAAAATTCAAGCCAGGATAGAAAACAACCGTTTATGTCGCAAGAATTTCGAAAAGTTATGGATTCTTATTATAAGTAAATGTACGTGTCTGTACGGAATAAAATTGTCCAAGAAAAAAAAAGACAAATTACTATTTTCCACGTATAAACTGCATGAGTAAGCCAACTGTTTCTTTCAAAGCAGTATGACACATATGAGCGTTGCAATCCCTCTAGTTTTTCCAACATATCATCGGCAAATGTTTCAGTAAAAGTTGTATTGTAAAAAAATTCTTCCAACAAAAATCCGTACTTATTTTCTGGTAGTTCTGACAATAACGATGCGAAACAATGCGCTTCATGCCAGTTCTAGGTATGATTCATAAAAATTGTTGCGAATGAAAAATCACTGAAATTTGTTGAAGAAAAATCGAAAGTAAAATTTTATTTACTTGATGAAATCCTCATTTAGAATTATGGAAATTTTATAGGAAGATGTAATAACAAACCCTTTCTGTCAATTTGAAGAAAAATTTCAGGAAATTTGCTGTAGTACAAATTCGAAGTGGAAAACATGGCATACGAAGAACTGCATTCAGTACTGGTCTGCAAGTATTCAGAACAAAGTACTCTAGAGTATGGAATTTTCGAACATGTTGAAGAAATAGAATTACCTGCACAATGCCGAACAATCGCTGTATATCGGTGCTGGTATGCAGTACTGTAATGAACAGGAAATGAAAAACAGTGACGTACAGTTAGACACGTGTATCGTTAGTAGCTGCACGAATATTTTGAAGAAATTCTCTGGAAATATGTCTAACCTTAATTTCTGAAATCTCACGCGGACAAAAACAGATAACTCTGAAAAACACGAAACATGTGCTACCGACATTTCGCTCTATAGATTGTATCAGTCGATGTTGCACTATAACAGTGCCAATCACTGCATGACTACACCACTGGCTTGTTAACATATTTTAAGTTAATCCTATATGAACATCGCGCTTCTTTGCTGAATGGCAACGACAAGAGAATGTAGATTACAATCTGCTTAAATCTCCTAATAATACCTAGATTTTCGGAAATCAACCGTAGAATTTATCAAGTCAAATAGTACACGGTCAAACTGCTAAAAACTAATGAAAAAATCCATACTTTCTACAAAAGTTATTGCAAAAATAGTACATACTCTCGTCATCTCTCGAACCAGCAGATGCAATATGTTCCAGGAACGATCCAAAACCTTTGATGAAAATGTTCAGTTTTGCATCCTCATAAAGGCGCCAATAAATGTCGCTGTTACTAAGAGCAGCCAATACGCTTGATAAAATGATCTGAAAGTGTCTTCAATGAACTGGAATTAAGCATCGATATCAACTACCAAAATAACTGACAAATAGTACTTTATGTACAGTGAAGTTCAAACCAAACAAGGGTCATTGACATGAGGAAGTTTCATTTGGGTGGATTTCTTCGACGAAAAACAATAATATTCTCAGGTAAACCGATCTAGTATAATGTCTCGTAAACTTTTAGACCTAATAATGGGCTTTGGACTCATGCAAAGAGATACCGACGAGCAATATTGAGGGTGGCGATCTTCTTTCCTTTTCCTCTTTTGTTTTATTCTTTTATCCTTCCCTCTGCTTTCTTTCTGATTTTTTTTTGCTGGAAAAATTCCTCACCGACTCCTAAGCCCACACTAGGACTCTAATAATGGAGTTCAGAAACTCTGGTCTTAAACATCATTTTATGAAGGCGCAAACGATTCAGTAAAACTTAATATTCAATAAACCTCTTAGTCAAAGGTAACAGTCACATGAAACTAATGAAAAATAAATACACGTCTAAAACCTACTGAATAATCCGTTTTCAGCAATGCTGCATCGATAGAAAATATTTTCTGAACTGCCCAAACTCGTATCCAACCATTTGGATGATTTAGAGTTCTCACAAACAACAGCTGTACCCAGAACCAGGGCAAGCATCCATCACATTCCATGGTAGCTTTACACATGCAAAGTATACGGTCGAAAATGGGAAGAACTGGTTCTACCAAATGAAACTGCAAAACTGTTTTGATTAACAAAATTATTCAAACTGTTTAAGCACTTATTAAGAAATAAACCATTGAATATCAGTGTTTCATTCAACCGTAAGCCACATCAGCTGTGTAATCGGAGACAGTTCTCGACACAACAATATGCAAATCAGATGCCCAAAGACAATGCTACACAGGAATATGATCGGCCGACAATTATCAATGATAAAGTTTCACCGGCTTTTGATTCCAGAAAGCAAAATCTTCTCAGAACAATCTTTGTATCAGCTAGATTAACCTGTGGTTCCTCCAGAACATCCATTACGATGAAATAATCTTTCCAAACAGCGTTCGTCTTCAATTCATGTAAAGCAGACAATGCAGCTTTTCGAACAAACCGACTCTGACCATAACACATGAAACGGTGAACAATTTTTTCAACCTGAAACAGTCTCAAATGAGACTCAAATGAGATTTTCCACCAGTTATAACATAGGGAAAACATTGAATAAGTGATTTTAACCATTTTATGAAAAAGATGAACTCAACGAAAACAGTACGGATGAAGAAAGTTCTGTGAAACTTGAAGATCCATTTATAATATATTTGTTAATTATAATGGAGAAGATAGTGATCAACATACGTTAAGAGGTCACTTAATGATTTGGAAAAAAATAAGTATTCCTCACAAATGAGCGGCGTAACGGATATCATCGCGACAAAAGAAGGTAAAATTGGTTTAGATGAGACATACTTAATGGTTCACCAGCAACTCTCGTGTCTCCAGGAATTAAACAAAGTTTAATTGGGTTTCGAAAAAATAGAGAGCATAAGGGATGAATATTGCGATATAAAACTTGCGATATAAAACTGCAATATAAACTGAGATAAGTTCTACTGGAAATTACGATATAAACTTAGAGATAAGTTTTACTGGATTATGTCAGAGTGACACAGCAAAAATGTAGCCCTTTTATTAAAAATGACTAACTCTATCATTAATATCTGGTAAGGCTCTTTTTACTATTGCAAAGAGGGCGAATACCATCGTTTCCATTTCATCAACGACCGCATTGTCAAATAACCTGAAATCCAAAGAAAAACTACAAAATGGAAATTCAAAAAGGTACGTAGAAGCTATCAAGACATAAAATGATGTTTTCATTCATCATTTGCCGTAATTAAAATGTTTCTTTTGGGCTGAAATTAAATAAAACATACTCTAGAAATGACAAAGCTTCAGTTTCTGAACAGTGCTTGCAGATTTCGGTCACCAAATCTGAATTCTTTTGTTCAACAGATGCCTTCACTCTTTTACTATAACAAAATTTCACTATAACTTCGTTTCTTCGTTACAATTTCTTTATTGCAAGGTAATTAGATTAGCTGTTGCACCTCTCAATAGCAGAGTATGGTACTTCCAATTCTCGACAAGGTTACACGGCATTAACATTACCTGTTGCCATTAATAGCTGATAAAGCTGACTAAGCGGTCTGTTGATTCATTATATTATTTATAGGTCACACTTTATAAATATTAGCAATTTTATAGATGTCAGCATTTTATAGATGTTAGCAATTTTAACACAGAGTGAACGTATGGATTCGGTTCATTTTATACAGCTGCATTTTTCCTGACAGCAAAAAAATCCTCTACACCTTTCTCTTCGTAAATCCTGAATGTCCGTCAACCACAAAAAATACTCAAAGTATCGATTCTGCACTTTTCCCTACGTATCACGTATGTAAAACGTGAAAGTTTCTTCACCAGTCTATACTTTTGCTAATAACTTAGTTAATAAGTAGGTTAACTGCAACCTATACAAAAATGGCTGCAACTCACAATAAATCGAGCTTGCCTTCTTGTCCTTCCAAATGTTCGCCAGACATGTCTGAAAGAAAATAGTCGAAAAAATATAAATCTAGGTGAATGGAAAGAAGAATGAGAGAATTTATGAAATGTTATTAATTATACAACTGAGAATAAAGGATCCCGATGAGAAATTCCGTGGAATGTTGTCATCCCATGTGGATTCGAAATAAGTGGTGAACAGAATCATGAAAACTCCAGGAGGAGACCGAAGGATAACTCAGTGGTGTACACTTTGCACTTGGGTACTTTGCACAATCTTTATGGATAAGACTGAAGTTAAATGTCGAATTTTACAAATCCAACTGTGCGGAAACGACTCCTATTTACATTAAAAATCTTTTGTTTTGCTTAGCATTTTCAGCCTCCATCTATTCCTCAACTGATAAATATGCATTTGCTGAACAAAATTCGTATGGTATTATCCCAAATTTATTTAAATTGATAAGTTTATAGTACCAACAAAGTACACGCATCAGAAGTCTAAACAACCACCTTTAAATTACATAACCTAAGGTTCTCTATTCCAAACCTTACTTCACTTTTTGGAATTAGTTTGCTGACCAGAACAATGCCAAACAACAACAGGGAATTGCTAATTAATTGATGGGTAAGCACCGGATGACCCCAATGAACCCCAACGTTAAATAACAATCCCACTACTTTTTGAGGTTCCCGGACAAATAGCTAATAAAATTTTTGGCCGTGTGGTAATTAACTGATGCCCTCCAAAACCGGATCGTTCACATCTCTCGATACGCGCTTCTGGCAAAGATAAAAAAGCGGAAGAGAGGTCTGTCTTTTCGCACTACATTATCCTACCATTATCTTCCACAAAATACGCTACCTTATACGAGATGATTTTTCCATAGTAAGCTATCGCAACTTTTATCCTGGCAGTTAGTAAAACTCAAATTCTCCAAAGACGATGACTCATTGATGAGTTTTAGGATGAAGAGATACTAGAATCGGCGGAAGGTAACAGCAATTCAAATCACTGCTTACTATCAACTTACAAACAAAGCAAAAACGCATCAAATGAAAGTGAACAATTACAATTTGTATTAAGTAAAAATAGCACGAAACAATGAGTTCGTTGCTTACTGTGCCATAATGCAAAATAATGCAGTTTACAAATCAACGACATATCATTATAATAGCAGCCAATCCGGTATCCCGGATTGACATTTCGAAATTCCAGATAACATTAAAACCATTTAAGATAACAGAAAAAATATGGATGATTTGACAAAGACAAGAAGTACATAACATTTAGAGCTTTACCAAAAAGTAAATTAATAAAACGACTTCAAAATAATGTTAACATAATGATGTATTCACTGACCAAAATATCAACTGTTATTTACTGCAGAATAGTAAATATTCATATTCATGCATAACTATGTGGCCGGATAGGTTTCAGCGGATCAAACAACTTGGGATCTCTCAAATATTTCGGATCCTTGACAAACACCGGCATGTAACCAGCACGACGACTCAAGGCAATTGTTTCCAGTAACCTTCTCTGTTGCCCATCACAAAGTCCAGTGATATGTCTGAAGATACGTCCTTCTCATGATGAAATGAAACGAGAAGCAAAGCCACACTTAGCTTTTGAAAAAATATAGAAAGACAAATCATACTGGTCATAAACTCTTCCGGAAAACGTTGAAACGAATTGTTGCAATAAGCGAGCATTCTTGTAATCCAACTCAATTTTCTTCGCACACAAAAAACATTGTCTAGCCGGCTTACAGTACGGATCGTTCCGCATTTGCACCACCCCATCGTCGTCTTCCACCGTATAACGACCTGTCGCCGTTGCAGCACTAGACGACGACGATGCTCTGCTCATCGGAATAAATGGTCTCAAACATGTTCTCAATGAGAACATTCCTAAATTTGAAATATTTGAAAAAAAAAACAAACAAACAAACAAATTAATAAACCCGAGCTCGATATCTTCCCTACCATTGGTAATATCAAAGTCAGTCGACCTCAATAAAGAAATATCTTGGTATGATAAATCACACAAAATCCAAGTAACCAAGCCCAAATAATTTTGAGAATAGAATTTCAAAGAACTTTTCTGATGTTCAAGCATTGTTAACAATAAAGAAGCTGCACTTGAAGACAGAAACAACTGAGTGAAAAATACAGTATGTCAATACTTTTATTTCATAAAGACATGCATTACCATTGATATGATACAGTTAATACCAATAATCGAAGAAAAAAAAAAGCTTTGCTAGACATCAAAACTGATACACTTGCGATTAGAGAATGGTCACGGTTTGATATAGTAAAAGCTATCTATATGATGTTCTGTAACAGTGCATATTGTCGAAAAAGTAACCAAATTTTTCGGATTAAGGATTTTCTCCTAACAATTACACCGTAGGAATCTAAAAATTTTCCGCATAATTTTGAACTCAAAAAACTCATTAACACAAAAATAAAGATCACGCTAGGGTCGTATTGAAACCCTATAATAACAGAGAAGCAACGAAAAATATTTTTACTCGATTACATCACCCTTCGCACCCAGTCTTTGCGGATCCTGACTAGGATAATAAACTTTCGTCGCTGAAGCTGGTATATACGATGCTGTCCCTTTATAGGGTACCTGAAGTTAGCAGAATATATTCAAGCTGATTAAAAGGTGGAATAACATTCTGCCAAAAATCGAAGCGAGCTGTGATTAAATTAACAACAAACTATAAGAATTCACCAACGTAGGAAAAATGTTCTACCTGAGGTACAATGAGCTGTGCAGGAGGTGTGTACGTTGCAGCTGGAGGTAAAGGAGGCATCGGTATATGATCAATACGCGCCCGCTTAGATGAATTCGTCTCTTCATCGAATAAATCCGGTAATGGACATGCTGAAAAAAAAAACAGTGATGTGACGGTGATGGCTAGTAGTAAAAAAACATAACAATAGCTTCAAATACGGGAAAATTTCCCTTGTAATATATTTATCATTCTCACCTCACTAATGCTGGTATAACATCAGGAACGAAAAAGAAAAGACTAAAACCTAAGCATTGAGTAAACAGATACAACTACACATCGATATTAAGACTAAACTGCATGATTCAGTTTGATTTAAAAAACAATGCAAAGAAATATTTACGACTAGGAAGGCCTGCGACTGGTTCTGCTCTCTTCTTTTCTTCCTGCGTATTCTGTGCTTGAGGCCGGCCCCATCTTATTTTTAGTCGTCTTCCTAAAACACCCAGAAATATTTAATATGAAATAGTTATCTTTCAATATGAGACAGTGTTACTGAGTTGAGCGCCACTAACACGAAACACTAAAAGAGTAGTTTGTGGAAGAAAAAGTGGTCAAATTAATATAATGCGAATAGCAACGTTTACCTTGCAAGATAAGTTTATTGAATGAACGTTCCGCAGCCTTTTCAGCAGCCAGTCGCGTCGTAAATGATATGAACGCACATCCTTTGTTGGGCAACAAATTAAGGCTACGTATTTCACCGAACTGATAAAAGTAATCTCTGAAAAAATTGTATGGGCAATAAGTAATAAGAAGAAACGATTCGGTTCACTTTATTTAACTTAAAATAAGAGCACATCAAATGTTCCTAAGAGATCCGAAAATATCACAGTTTAATAAATCCAACAAACCTCAAAGCAGCCTCGCCTATCACTCCAGCTGGACCTAAATCACCAACATACAGTGTAGTAATAGTAGTATCTTCTGGAGCTTGTAATACAGGTAATGCTTTGGCACGAGTCAGAAGTTTCTCCGCAACTGGATCATTGTTCCCGTAATAGCGATCCCGCATGTTCTGATGACTTAACGGATCGTCAGGATCTGAAGGCTTTTCATGCCTGAAATACTTGTGATTTCCAAATGCTTAATAAAATTCCGAAAGGTTCACAGAACAAACAAAGCAAAATACAGACCTGTATGGGCATTCTTCACCACGCCTACATTCTCCTTTAACGAAGAAAGAGCAAATGTGCGGTTTGTTTCGTTGATAATAAGGTTGATTTCGGGCAAGTTTCTTTAGCAAATCATTTGATGCTATAAGGAATGTTCATTTGGGAAACATCAGCTTAATTATAAACTTCAGTCCGTGAATTTAAAGTCTGTTCTCCATAAACTACAGACATTTTAGTTTGAAACCAGAAAACACTTCACCGAAAAAATTGAAAAAGTGAGAGAAAACCAACCAGAATCGGTTATTTTAGCAAGAGCACCACCAGGTGTAGTGCCATCTGTAAGAGCTAATTCCCGTTCCTGATTCTGAATGTAATAGTCGCGATTCGCGCCTTGTCTAGGCAAATCATCTTGTATTTGTAATGCATGGTCACGAACCTGCACAGGTAAACCTGAAACTCACCTTTAATACTAAATGAAAGCGCTACTGAATTACTGCCACAGATCTAGACTTCAACAACAAAAAAAAATACCGAATTCGAGATCCAAAAGACAAGTCTGACAAACATTCTTCATTTTAGCACACGTCTGACATACTTCCGTTTTTTATACCGCATTCCCTTTCCAGGCATCCACCGAAAACAAGTAAAGGGACGTTGACAAATTTTGCATTCCGCTCCATGTCGATCTTTCAGCTGAAAATTTAATTCTAAACTTATGGATTGGCCTACAAAAGAAAAATATTGCAGAAACTTAATTTACATCGCCATCCAACAAATCACGAGAATTCTCCTCACCATCCTTATATATGGGTTCGATCCAAGACATGTCTGACAAAGGATCGGAAATTCCTGAAATACATGACATATAAAGATTAAGATCATTCCATGAAGACGTATATATTATTTCTATCTGGAATTTACTGACAAATTACAAGATAACAAAAAAGTTTCCAAATCATCTACCTGCTGTGTCGATTTATCGATTTATATGCGTTTAGGCTATAACAAGAAACTTAAAAAAGTAGCAAGGCTTGCAACACAAGAATGGAATGCTTACTGAATCTTCCCACGTTTTCCGGTTATACTGATACGATGATTTTGAGAGTGCCATATAATCTGCTCCACTAATTAATGAACCCTATTTTCAGTATTCCCTGGAAAATACGTGAGTAAAAATTCAGTTACACTAATCAGTAATAAATCAGGACATGGATACGTGAAAGTTTCTAGTACATTCATAATTGTATTTCTTGGATGACGGCAATAATCCAACATCGCCAGACCGATTTAAACCATTTTGAACTAACTGAAACACTCCGAACTAAATCTATTTAGAATCTACCAATCAAATCGTTAAATCAATCAAAAAATCTGGGAAAGGATTATCTCACAGCTGCTGCTTAGTAACTTAACCGAGAAGCAACGAGGTCCCAAGTTATGTAACTCGGAACGGTCAGTCCGCAGTCATCAGAACTATTTTCAACAAGGATGGTTAGTTTCATGTTGGTCCCTATGTGTATGCCCACGGTTGCATTACGCAAATCTCGTACCAGGCCGACGTTTAGTACGGCTGAGTGGTTTTGTGAATTCATTGGTTATGTTTGGGATAATACTTCATCATTGTTGTGCAACTTGTTTAGTGTTAGCTTTGGGCTACTTTTTCATTTTATCTGCAACTTATCACTCTAATCATCTAAGCTTTGTCTTATCATGTTTCCGCTGGGAAAAACGGAATTAAGATGAATTAAGACAAAAAAAAAATGAAAAAAACTGCACACAATTGTGTGTTGTGCATTTTGTTATATTGTTATCTCAGTTCTTTTTTTGTTATGTTTCCAAATTATTCCGACTCTATCCTGTGAAGAAATGTATACATTATGCTTGTAAAAGAGTTGAAGCGAGAGGTTCAGACCGGGCTAGCGACCAACCGCAGTTCTGTCTGAAAAGCACCGAAATAATTTGTGTGGGAGCATATGCAAATTATACATACAAAAGAAATAATTCGATAAATTTAAGATTGAACTGACAGCAACACTCAGTGTTGAAGCGGTCGGTGACTTAAGCGGTCTATTCAGTTTGTTCCTACAGTTAGTCTTATTTGTCGTTAATGTGAACTTCAAATTAGGATCTCGTATTTTTGATTCTTTTTAAGTGTTTTGAGTTGTTAATGTTGCGCACAAAGCTACACAGAAAATTCAAGCTGTTGAAGGTATAGTCCAGTGTAACACCAATGATTAAATTTCTTTTATTTCAAGATTTTTTTTTCCGGTATTTCTAAAGCTTATATATATCTTTGGATTTGGAACTTGAAATCTTTGTCTGTTTAGTTTCAAGTGTATTTATATCGATGCGAATTCAAATGACTGTTGAAGGTAGTTTCGATGTATCGATTTATATTTTAAGTTTGCTCATATTTTAGATACAACCTGGAAAAGTTGATAGTCTGTTCGGTTTCTTGGATTGCTACTCTGCCCTCAGGCAGGTTACGTGTGGTGACCACTGAAATTGCTCAAAAATTGTGAAAAAATTTTGGCCAGTTTTTAAAAAACCATAAAAGAGACAACAACAACTTTGAGAACGCTTTCCACAGAAGTTCGTAGTTCAAAGTTAAACTTATGGGAAATTCATTGTTTGAACGGAGATGTAGGAAAAGCATTTCTTGGGTTTTTCACGGGCATCAAAATGTATTGGGACGTTCTGTGGTTATTTCCATTTGCTTCTTTTCGGAGCATTGTTTTGCTTACATTCCCTTCCTGAATTTTGGTTGCTTATGAATTTTTCAACGCATCTTTGAAAAATCGTTAGTTTTATTTCTTATTTTGTAGGCACAAGATTACACTAAAATGGCGTCTGCATCAATTGGACTGGACGATGCGGCGTCATCATCAGATGATCTTATGGATGAACAGTCTCCTCATTTTTCTAGTGTTTCGTTACATGCTGTGGTATAGCTTTCATTTAGAAGTTTTGCTGTTAAACTTTTTCGAAAATGGTGTTGTAATCAGAAGGGTGAGGATTAAATTTTAGATTAGTGGGACAAATATATCCGATATATCTGTCCATCATTCTGCATCGGGAATGGATATTGAGCAGGAACAAATAATACCGGATGGACATGCCCTAGATATTGCTTTGTCGAAAATGTGGATACGTTTGAACGTTGGTGGAACGGTTGGTTTCTCGTGTCATTTTAATCTTAATAAAGGAACTGGTATTCATGATAAATGCTTCAGTAGGTTTTATGCTTGCCTTTGTTACATGGATTTGAAAAATTATTAGAAAATAGTGGTGGAGAGGACCTTCGCTAATACTTCCTTGGTCTGTAAGGTGAAATTTGAACTTTTAATTTACAATTAATATGAAAGTAACAGAATGTTGCAGATCTTTCAAACTACTCGACAGACTTTGTGTCGTGAAGCGAATTCCTTTTTGGCTCGTTTGTGTAAAGAAGGCGACGAAATGCCCAGTCAGAAAGTTTGTACTTTCTATTTGATGTCAGGTTTTTAAACTTTACCATCACGGCAGTTGAAAACAGTGGTAATCTTAATGATAAAATAATGGTTCTGTCTCTTTTCGATAAACGAAAAGGATGACCGTTCATTCTCGTTTTCGTAAAAAATACAGCTTGAAAAACACGATCAAATTTGAAGTTAGCTTTATCATTATGGTTTAAAGCTTCATTTTAGGATGGGACAGGTGCTATATTGATCGATCGTGATCCAGAATATTTTGCACCTGTGTTGAATTACTTACGTCACGGGAAACTCGTAGTGAACAAGAATGTGAGTGTCGAAGGTAGGTATGTTGTGATTTGACAGTGGTTGGTTTTACGCAAGAGATGTCTAGATTACTAAGAGCCGAGACACTGTTCACTTTGCAGGGGTTCTGGAAGAAGCAGAATTTTATAATTTGCCGCGGCTAATTCAGTTATGCACGGAACGATTAGCGGAATTTAGCCTGAGAAAAGCGAGACAGGTTCGTATGTACTTGAATTGTGTGAATATTGTTTGGGGATTGGCAGTTTCTTATTTCCCAGAATCTTGGAAAATTTATACTATAATGGAGTTTCTAAGTAAAACACTGTATAGAATGGTAAGATCGTCACCAAAGGGTACTAGCACAGACTATTTAATCATTTTTGTTGGCAATTCGACTTTAACTTTTGACGAGAAAATTTATGATTTGAAATGAAATTCAATTTTTTTCTAAACAACTGTTATGTAGACAAAACACGTATATCGCGTCCTCCAGTGTCATGAAGAGGAATTGACAAATGTTGTATCAGCAATGTCAGATGGTTGGAAATTAGTTCAGGTGCGTTTCGTATTTTGGTTTTTATTGAATATAGAAAATAGATTTTGTAAATTGAGTTTACTCGGGAATCTATAATAAGACCGGGGACGTAAAACATTATTTTAAGGAATAGATAAACACCATTCTTAATCCTTTTGTTTTTTCAGCTTATTCCTATCGGACAGTTCCAGTATCAAAGCGATATGCAAAGTGAATTTCTTTGCGTCGTTTCCCGGGAATTTCCTGACAACGAAATCAAAAATGGAGAGCATACAGATCTCACTGATCGCGTTAAAGCTTTGCAACAAAAGGCTCGCCGTAAGTCAATAATCAATAACTCGTATTTTTGTCCCTACCAACCGAAATATGGGTTGTGCGATTTTTATAGTTTAACTTTGTTATTGCTTCCGGTTGTTTCCTTTAAAATAAGGAGGTTCTAAGGCTTTATGAAACTTATCCTATATGGATATTTAAATCATTGGCAGTTAATTTCACTATAGTCATTTCTGATGATGTTTAATCTGTGCAAATTCATACCTGTTAATAACAATAATTTTTGCAGACCACTAGTGCTGGAAGGCGACCGTTTGTTTCGATTCAGGACGGCTTTGCCGCTCGTGCTGCAATAGGAATTTTTTCGTTTAATCCATTCTTACAAACAGTTACTAATAGGCATTTAAGTTAAGCTTTATAATATTTGTGTCATCCGACTGCCTTCCTCAAAAGAAACTAATGATAAATCGCTATAGCTAACGTATAGGCTTATCGTGCATGGTACAGGGTCTGAGGTACAGTTATGCCGTCTCTGTTATCAAGAAAGATTAAGTACTTGTAGTAGGAAAAAATTTATGTCAGGAGCTAGCGCCACTTGATTGAAATACAAAATGCATTTCTTGCGCCGTTGATTGCCAAACACTTTATTGATTTTGTTCTTTTCTTTTCTGATGTCATGTATAGATATAGCGTTGTTTTTATTGATGAGATATGTACGCATCTCCCGCTTCTATGCCTTTTAGTTGCTTTGGTCCATGAAACTTGATGTGGTGTTCTATGACTAAACATTGTTACCATTACAAAAGCGCTGAAAATGATTTCCTATCCTTTGACATTTCTCACTTAAGAAAATTAACTACTGAGTATTTCAAAAGATGTAAAACAATCAGATTTAGTATAGTCTATGGTTTTCATCCAAAAGTGATTATATAGTTGGGTTTCGTCATGTAAACCGTTGTATTAAATTATTTTGTAGCCTTTATATCTCACTTCATATTTTCTTTCTTCGAATTTCTTGTATGCACGGCCATTTTTGCGCTCAAGTTCCGTTGTTTCTGTATTTTTTTCTTTTTGTTGCACGTAAGATGATGGTGAATACCCTTATTTTTATTTCTTGCCACTTTGAAGCTTTAGCCAAAGTTAATGGGTAAGGGCTAGAGGAGAGTAATTTTGGAAACAAAATTTCGGTTTTCCTGGATTCTTTAGCTATTTCCGATCCATCTGCATTCATGCTTTTGCTCTGCACTTGAGGGAAGTAGTGTTCCAACAAATTTTATTAGTGCTTTAACGTATATATTAAATGTGTGAGAAAAGTGGGGAAAGGAACATACAGTAGGAATCGTAAATCAATTTCATTTACTTTAGTAAATACTCAGGTAAAGGATGTATCTTTTAGAAATAACTTCCCCTGCTTAAAACTATGGAAAGTTTTACTGTCATTCTTTGCAGTTGTTTTCTTTGATGGGTCATTTTCAGAGGCTAAGAATTTCAGCCTCTGTTCAGTTTGAAGCAGTTTTCGAAGCAAAAATCTGCGCAATTTGATGAAAGTGCAGACGATGAATTGACATCTGGAACAGACGCCTTTTATGTGCTCAAAGTTGATAAATATAGCATCAAGTCATCGTGAATTTTTATATCTATCAAATCACCGTTTTTTGTTATTGTAAATGATATTTATTTTCCGATTTCTTCGTGTTTTTCTCGCAATAAAAAGCAAGGAACATTGCTTACGATGATATTACAGTTTTCAACGTTAAGAGTAGCTTATCTCATACCTTTCAGTTGTGATTTAAGTTTATGAAATGTATATTTTTTTTATGAAGTAAGACAAGGAGTCATAAATGGTAGGTGATGTTGATAATTTTATTGAGAATAAGTTTATTTCAAGCTACCGATTGAACCGAGGTTTTGTTCCCTTCATCTTTCTTTCGCCAAGATCATCAGAAACAGTATGCTTGACTACTCGCTTTCACATGAAAAATGGATTGCTATTCTTGTTGTTTAAATACAAACAGTAATAATGGGAAAGAAAAGAAGTTTCTGGCCTCTTCTTGAATGACATTGCCATTTCTGGTACTAATTTGGAAATTTGACAAGAAAAGCTCAGTGCAGAATATAGATACACAATCTAAATGTTTTGTGAAAAATGAGCATAGAACTGTAAAATAAGGAATACTGGACATTTTATAAAAGTAATGTGAATACATTTAACGGTTTGATTCAGTATGGCATAATTTGGAATAGGCTGTACACTCAATTTATTAATTATTTCATTCTGTATTTGTAATCGGTTCATCATATAGTCGATTTAATCGGTCATATATACTTAGCATTAGTTGTTTTCGTCCCTCACTCTTGTTATTTCTGATCATTTGGATTTTTTCGACTTTTTTTCTCCCATTTCCTTTGGGAGGAAAAAAAAGCCTGGATGAATGAATGTCTCATCTTTTCATTCTTTTTCATCATTATAAATCTCCTTTGCTTTTTTTTCTTTTTTCTCTCAAGCATTATTGGTAAATGTCAACAATTGATTTGTGTGCCGAAAGGGACATTCAAGAAGTTGTAAAATTTACTTTCTCACATTTTTGGCCACTATACGATGATGCCATTAAGAAGTCGAATAATACTTCAGAAATATCATTTTCTTTTTTACACTTCTTAAATTTATGTTGCTTCATTCAGATAGTTATGATATCATTCATACAGTCACTATCTATGTTATGTTAAAAACTGATATATGTATTTCAAGTGAACTTTTGTGAGCATAAATTTCCCCTTTTTTTTCTGTTCAAAGGCGATAAAAATAATGCCATAGACAGGATGAAAGTATTTGTACTTTTTAAGGGGGAGATTAGATTAAAACTTTTTTATTACTCATAAATTATTCTGGTAAGTGTTGCAGTATGTAAAAATTGTTGACGCAGATGATTATCGGTTATAGGATATATTGATTCGTTATCGTTTGTTGATATTATATAAAATTTGTTTGCATATATTAACGTTTTTCTTTTTTTAGTACTTCATTAACGTCGTTAGCGGGTTAGTTTGTAATGGAGAAGCTACGAAGAGTGGATGAAGCTGGTGATAATCGTTGGGCGGAATTGGTACTCTTTAACATTTTTACATTTAATGTCAGATTTCTCGAATTTCTTGGTTGTTAACGTTGCATTTCTAAAATGTTCAATTATCTTTGCTGAATTATAAGTCAACCGTATAAAAAACGAAGTTTTTGTCTGAGTTTTGGAAGTTTTTAGTTTGAGTTCTTACTGATTTCAGCAGGAACGATTCGTTTCGGAAGCGCGTGATAAAGAAGCTGATGTTTTATTTCTAGGTGATGATCATATAGCTTTGCTTGAACAATCAATAGTAAGTTGTTCATTCTTTCAACTAAAATTTACTTATTAGTAATCGTCCACGAAATCACATTCATTCCAGATGTATCGAGAAAATTTAGCCCCACTACATTGCTTGTGTTTTGGTGCTTTTGGCGACAAAATATCGAATTTATTGTGGAGGCTTGAAAATAATATTTTGGAAGGCTTGAATCCCAAGGTATGATGTTTCCTGCCTTTCACGATTTTTTCTTTTCATTTGCATATCTCACTGGTTTCCTGAACATTTTATCGAGATTGAGTTGGAGCTTTTTTTTTAATGTCTTTTGTTATTTAAAAATTTGCAGGTGATTGTTGTATCGATTGGCAATTCGGATTTCGAATTAACTGAAGAAGAGATGTTAGAAGGGCTGAAAAGTGTCGCTGGAACTATTCGAAAGCAGAAGCCGTCAGCAAAACTGTATTTTATGGTAATTTGTCACGTCTGGTAATTAATTTGTTGTTCTGAAGATGCTGCATATTAATTGCACTCCGTTGTTCTGAAGATGCTGCATATTAATTGCACAGTAATCGGAATCGAAGAGATTGAGAGCTAAACTCTTTGTCAGAAAAACTGATTTTTAAATCAAGTTCAAACTTCCAGAAACTTCTTCCATCTGGAAGAAGACCGAACAAACGACGTGAGCTAGTCAGTCGAATCAATGAAAGTTTGGAAAATGTATTAAAGGGTGTGGCAGATGTGATCGATGTGGAACCTTCCATACAAGGCTTGTTTATTTTTTCTTTAATCACTTATTTCTTTAGTTTTTGGTGAAGCTTGTTAGAATTATATTGTACGCATTCTTATACACTGTTGAGTAGCCTAGCAGTGCTCCTCATTCTGCGTATTCAGTAACAATTGTCGTCTTAGAATTCTGTCATTTGGGATATATCCCCGGATTTCAGTGCTAAGAAATTCTTTTTTTTAGCTGTTACAATACATATGGAATGATTGTCTTAAAGTTTTATTTTTCAGATATGAATGGCTAGATTAAATTTCATCATATGTTTCATTACGTCCATCTCACTCAAAAAGGTTATCG